TAGTGAGTCAGAAGACGTAAGAGAGACCACCGCTGCTAATTTGTACATTAACTGGTTCTGACAGAAATATTTCACAAGTGAAAAAACAGAAAATGTGCCTCAAGACAATGTGCAACTTCCGTACCAGCAAACTTCTGCTTAACTGTGCGGTGCCCGAGGAGGGGGGACCCCCTCCCTGCCGCGCCCCCCGGGAGCTCCGCGGTGGGTTTGGCCCCTGGAGATGCTCCTGGACGGCTGGATCAGGCCCTGAGCTGGGGGAGAGGGGCTGGCAGCCACGGACTCCTCAAAATGGGAAGGGGGAGGCGGTGGGTCCTGACACTGCTCCCCATCAGGTAAAGGGAAAGGGACTGTTGGGGTGGAAGGGTCTTGGTGACAGCCCCCTCCTCGCCCCAGGATAGATGGGTGCTGTCCCTTCACAGCACCCCTCGATCACCCACCCTGCTTCCAGCAGCTTCCCAGATGGGGGGCTGCTCCTTCTTGTCCCCACCCCAGGATGCGACCACCAGGGGCTGTCCCCATTTGTCACCATGTGGGACCACAGTCGTGGTCTGTGGCCACCCTGCCAGGAAGCTCGGCCGGTGCAGGAGCTCCCAGCTGTGCCCAAGCAGCCCCTCTGTGCCCCACGGGAGATCACCAGGGTGCGAAGCCCCCCGAGCCACCCCGGCACTGCCACCTCCCTGCCACCACAAGCGGCGGTGGCCAAAGCTGGTGACCGAGCCCCCCTGGCGAGCCCCGGGGCAGCAGGACCCCCCCGTCCGAGGGGCAGCAGGAGCCTCACGCCCTGCCCTGCCCCGGCCTCCCCCGGCCGCTCCGGTGCGTGTCGGGGCGCGGGTGGGAGCAGGTCCTCGGGCCAGCAGCACCGAGCACATGATCTGTTGTGGCAGGTTCCCTGCAGCCTGGAGCCAGCCCCGAGCGAGCGCTGGTGATGGCTTTAATTGCTTTCAGATTCGATAGCCCAGCCCGTGACAGCGCGGCCGCGGCGGCTCCAGCTGTGCCGGCCCGGACCCCGCGCAGCCCCTCGGATGGAGAGCCCGGGAGGAGGAGGAGGAGGAGGAGGACAAGGAGGGGGAGAAGGAGGAGAAGAGAAGCCGCCCTGGGATGGGACTTTCCTCTTCATCCCGGCAGAGTCTTCTCCACGCTCATGGTCCCACGGGGGTGAGTGTTTGCGTCATCCCCTAAGCCTCGTCCCTGGGGAGACCCAGCTGGGGGACAGCGTGGGTCCCCTGGGATGCCCTTGCAGCCCTGTTGTGAAGCCACCCGGGCATGTGACCCTGTGACACGCAGGACCTCCCCCTCTCAGGGTGCAGCTCTGCCATATCCCCCTTTGGAATGGGTGGGGATGTTGGAGGACTCGACTCCCCCATCAGAGCTGGGCAGGTTGAGGGAGGGTGTCTCTGATGCCACTGGGACACGGTCTGGCCCTCTCTCGTGGCTGCCTGTGTCTCCCCAGCCTGCATGGCCGTGTTTGGGGGCTGGGAACGGCTTCAGAGGCAAGTCTGGCCCAGACCTTGGCAGGTTTCTCCCCCGTCTGAAGGGCCAACTGCTCCCCAAACATCAGGTCCTCTCCCTGCTGAGTGGTGGCTCTGGGGGGAGCTGGGGATCTCCTGGTGGGGGGGCAAAGGGCTGCTCAGCAACCATTGTGGTACCTGTGGGCTGGCCCTGACCCACTGATGCCTGTGCCTGCCTCCTCCTCTTCCTCCTCTTTCTCTTCCTCCTCCTCCTTCTCTTCCTCCCCTTCCTCCTCTTCCCGCTACTGCGAGGGTCTGACGTGCCTCCCCCAGCTCCAGCACAGCACGGGCTGGTGCAGGCAGCTACTGGCACAATCCATAAGGTTTCCCTGCCTGCCTGGCACTGGAATGTGCTCAAGGGGAGCAGGATAAGCACCCCAGCACCCAGAGCTCACCCACGGACACACTGCCCTGCAGCAGGGCTGGGGGTCCCAGCCTGAGCCACCCTCCTGGCACACGGTGACTGTGATGGCCACTCCACGTGTCCTTCCTGAGGGGGACCAGCCAGGAGCCCCGGCCCCAGCAGCACCCCCTCCCTCCATGTCCCCCGGTATGGGGATGGGGCTTCCTTGCAGACGACGCCCAAACTCCCCTCCTTGTCCCTGCAGGTTGGGCAGCAACAGCGGCTGCTGCCTGTGGAGGTGAAGGTTCCCCGGTCTCTCTCCAGCTCGTGGCAGAGAGCAGGATCCAGCGCAGGGTGAGGAGGGGCCCGCTCTCATCCCGATCCATTATTGCGGGCAGCGCTGGCGGGCGCCCGGGGCAGGGGCTGCATTATTGACGAGGGGGAAGGCAGGCCGGGGCGCAGGCAGGGACCCTCCTGCAGGGCTCAGCCCCGGGCAAAGCACTTCGCCTGCGCCGCAGAGCCGCAGAGCTGCCGGGCCTGGCCCGGGGCAGCGGCCGCAGCCGCCACCGCAGCCGGGCCGTGCGGTTCAGAGCATCGCCCGCGCTGGGGATGGTGCCGGGCTCGGGGCTCCCCTCGGAGCACCCCGGGGAGGGTGGCACGGGCGGGCAGCGGTGCCCTTGTGAACCCCGCGCTGGCACCGGTGCTGCGGCTCTGCCCCCCTCCAGCCCGGCGCAGCGCTGGTGCTGCTCTTTTTTAAGCCTCCCTCTGCCTCTCGGCGGAGATTTGTGGCGTAAAATGCACAATATGTTCTATCTGCCCTGTGGGAGCCATAAAATATTCACCAGCAGCTCCCATTATAGTCAGAGTGAATCACAGGGAGCGCTCCAGCCCTCGCTCCCGACGTGCCCCCTCCCCGTGCAGCCCCGGCAAAGCCGCGGGGCCCCGGCCGTGCCGGTGACGGGGCCCGAGGAGCAGCCAGTGCCGACCCAAATCTCGCGGCAAGGACCCCCATTCCCACCTCCATCCCTCAGAGACATCCCTCGGGATCGGCGGGTCGAGGGCTGGTGACTGCACTGATGGGATGGCAACTTACAGAATCATGGAATGGTTTGAGTTGGAAGGGACCATCTTGTCCCACCCCCTGCCATGGGCAGGGACACCTCCAACTAATCAGGCCTTAAACACTTCCACGGATGGAGCATGGGCAGTGTCTGGCTGCCCGTGCCAAGGCCTCATCACCCTTCACCTTCACCTGCCTGAACACCCTCCTGGGTGCCCAGGGAGGAGCAGCACCAGCCCCGTGAGTGGGGGGGACCAGGATGGTGGTAGCAGCAGTGGGGTGGGCTCACGTGCCTGTCCTGGCTGCCCTGTCCCACCACACACGGGCTGGTGTGTGGACAACCCCAGCGTGACTTGTGCTGTCACTTGGCTTTTTGCAGCCACAGCCCCCTAAGGGAGGTGTCACAGCCGTGCCAGGGTGGTGGGACAGCCCCTGCCTGCTCTTTGACTGCTGTCACTCCTGTGTCTCACTGCTCTGCACATGGCTCAGTACCACAGCACTCCTCGGCTTCCACCTCCCCCCATGTCCTGCTCCAGCATTCCCTTCCATCCATCCTTCCCTTGACCCACTGTCCATCCCCACTGGTTCCCACTGCCCATCCCCACCTCCCCCTTCCGAGCTCAGACTCCAGACTGACAGAGCCAAGGGATGACAAATTTCCCGATTAAATGACACCCTGCTCTGGAGCTGATGTGTCAAACACAATTTTCTCTGTTGCCACACAATTATATGTAATTATAAAGCTGTTAATGCTGCCTCTGCCCTTGGGAATCGGGCCCAATTAGGGTTGGATTTCACCTCCACCCCTTCCACGGCCACACTGCAGCTCTCAGCCCCGTGTGCTCAGGGCTCCCCACAGTGTCCCAGTGTCCCAGGCAGCATCATTGCCATCCACTGCCACCCACGCACCTGCTCCTGGGACGTGTCCCCTCCACGCACCAGCTCACACGAGTGTCCCCGGCTGCACCGGGCACTGCCGTGCCAAGCTCCGGCACAGCAGGATTTGCCCCCGGTGTGTTGGGTGGCACAGGGCTCACCGGGACACGGCTCTCGGTCACCCACCACGGGCTGGTCATCACGACAAGCGCCACCACGAGGTCACGGGGCTGAGATTTTCCCGGCCTGTCCTTGGCTCTGAGCAGGCTCAGAGCGGGATGGGGGGACCACGGTCACACGTGGGGTCACCCCGTGGCGGCCACACGACCCACCGGGATAGCCGGGAGGGAGCAGGGCCCAGGCAGCAGCTTCCCACGGCGGCCGCGAGGGTTAAACCCGGCTCCTCTCCCCGAACAGACTGAGGGAGAGGAGGGAGCGTGGCAGTGCCCTCCCCGCCAAAATTAACTCTCCATCTGTTTCTCCCCGGCTGAGGCTGATGGCTTGTGACAGGGCCTCCTGAATGCAAAGATGTTTCGCCCGGAAAAATCTATTACAAGTCGCTGTAAGAAAGACCGAAATCCTCTCCTTCTGTCTCTCCCTACTGGTCTCAAGGTGCCCACCCGGGGCGAGCGCGGGCTGGCACACAGCCGGCCGCCTCCGCTCAGCCGGAAAGCTCTGCCCGCGCCAGCCGGGCTCGCCGCCGGACAAACGGCTCGGGAGGGAGCCGGGTGCTGCCCCGGTGCCGGGGAGGAGGGAGAGCTGCTCCTTCTGCCCCAGCCCGGCCCCGGTGCCGCCGAGGCAGCGGTCACGGCCGCGGCACCATCGCCAGCCCTCGGCCGCGTCGCGGTGCGGGTGGGGAAACTGAGGCAGGAGGGCGGGGAGGGGGAGCCCGGCCAGGCGGGCGGTGGGTGGGTGCCCTCTCCCGGCCACAGCACAGCCCTGCTCGGCCCTGCCACTCGGTTTACCGGGAATTTCTGGAGTTTGCTTTATTTTCGTCCCTTCCCGTGTCTCCGCACAGCCTTTCTTGGCCCCCCGTCCCGAAGGGCAGCTAAAAAAAAATCCTCAAAACTCAAATTCCCACTTTTTTTGGTGCTCAGCTCTCCCTCCAGCACACTGCCAGATGTTTCATGGAAATGCCTTCAAGATCCTTTGTTTTGACCCTAAAACCTCCCCCCTCATCTCTGCTGTCTGTTCCACAACAAAACCAGGCAGCTTCAGTAAAAAACAAAACTTTATTTGGTCCGTCAGAACCTGAGTTTGAAAACCACCCATGGATAATTCGTATCATACAGGGATTACTGATCTGATTTACAATTGATAAAATATCCTATGATTCTGAAGAGCTGGACAGTATTTACAGGGTTAAAAATATTCACAGCTCAGAAAGACAGAAAGAGAGAGGAGAAAAAAAAGTGAAGGACAAATCATCCCGAGGAGAAAGGAGCTGGAAAGAGAGAAAACAGATCGACAAACAAAAATACAGACAGAGCTTGGCTCAGCAGTCCCAGCTTGGGGGGGCCAGGAGGGTGCCAGGGCAGCCCACCCCGTGGGGGACACAGAGGGACAGGCTGGGCAGGGCCCCACACACATCCCTGCCCAGCCCAGCTGCTGGTGCAGGGTTTGGGGTGCAGGGTGCCCCCCAGCACAGTCCCTGCCAGAAGAGGGTCCAGCATTGCCCACCCCCCCCCCAGCTGCAGGTCCACACAGCTCGGGAAGGAGAGGGTACACAGGGGACCCCCAAAACACACACACACACACACACACACACACACACACACACGTGCCAAGTCAGAGAGCCACAGTGCCCTGAAAGCACGGGAGCAGCTCCCACCAGGATCAGCCCCCAGCCCGGAGCACTCACAGGACCAGCAGCACCCCGAGGCCCTCGCAGCCTTCACCTTGTGCTCACTCGGCCTCTGAAGGAGGGGGCTCTCCACTTCCCCCCCAGAATCACCCCCCTCCCCAGCACACGGCAACACCAGGGGCCTGCTCCTCGCCCCCAGGTCTGTACCTGCTGCCCCTGCAGGGCAGTGCCCAGGGGGCTGAGCCCAGCTCGGGCCATGGCTTCTCTCCAGGCACTGCTTCCACCGGCCGCCTTTGCATAGTAACACTTGTGTGACAGTACAGGAGGGTCCCTGCTGCCACAGCCCCCATGAGCATCACCCCTTCCCACCCAAAGCCACAGCGGAGGGGGCCCCTCTGAGTTTCACCCCAATTACAGTGAAACCCCTCAGAGTAGCTTTCTAGAACATCCCTGTGCCCTTTCCTCCCAAGCCTGGCAGCCGGGACAGGTGGGGGTGGACGGGGAGTCCGGGCACCACAGTGGGTCCCTGGCATGGGCAGCACCACGGCAGGGTGACCCCGGCACCCCCCGGCCCATCCTTGGTGCCACGTTGGTCCTGGGAGGGGACATGGGGGAACGAGACAGCGGGAGGGCCCGGGGACACACGGAGGGTCACACAGACGGACAGACATCAGAGGTATATTCTTCTTTTTGCAGCACCAGCGCCCTGGCGCCGCAGGAAGGGGCAGAGTCCTGAGCGTGGTGCCTGGGAAGGGCTTTGACGGCAACCTCCAGCCCCACCCTCTCCCACTGCCCCCCGGGGTGGGCAGAGGGCACCGGGCCCAGCGCAAGTTCGGGGCAGGGGGATCCTGAGATGGCCCCGTGCCCCCAGCGCTCCTCCTGAAGCGCGCGGGGGCCGGCGGGGCCGGGCGGGGGCAGCGGGCAGGGCTGGTCCTGGCGCTGAGAGCTCGGGGGACAAAGTGCTGGGAGGGACCCCCCAGCTCTACCCCTGGCTCAGCACTGCCGGCTCGGGGGGGCACCCGGGCCAGGGGCTCGGGGACAGTGATGGGGGAGCCGGGTGGGGAGGGGGAGGCGCTTCGTCATAGGGGCCGGGGTCCGTGCAGCCCCGCCACCTCGGGCGTGAGGTGCGGGTTGTGGGTGCCCTTGGTCAGCATCCAGTCATTGAGGAAGGCCTGGGTGGCTTTGCGGTGTGCCAGGCGGTGCGTGATGGAGAACCCGGCGTTACCCTCCAGCTGGGACAGGATCACCAGCACCTGCCTGTGGAGAGAGCGATGGGCTCAGGGCAGTGGTCTCTGCTCTGGCAATCCCACCCCTGACCCAGCAATCCCTTCCCTGTCCCACCAATCCCTTCCCTGAGCGATGGGCTCAGGGCAGTGGTCTCTGCTCTGGCAATCCCACCCCTGACCCAGCAATCCCCTCCCTGTCCCACCAATCCCATCCCTGCCCCACCAATCTCACCGCTGCCCTGGCAATCCCACTGCTGCCCACACCTCCCTCCCAGGCTCTGCCTCACTGCCAGCCCCCTGCCAGCCCCCAGGGCAGCCCCCTGACCCGCCCCTGCCTACCCCGGACCTGTGCAGGGGGGGGACGCTGTCCTGTGTCTTGAGGCTGCCGCGTGTGGACACCACGTTGAAGCTGTCGGTGCAGTCGCACTGGACGTGCAGGTAGGACTTGGGGTGCCGGTTCTCCACCACCACGATGAGCCCTGCCCAGCCATGTGTCAGGTAGTAGCAGGTCATCCCTTCACGGCCCTGGGGAGGACAGCAGGGGAAGGCGATGAAGCCTCCAGGCACCCCTGTCCCCAGCACACGGCTGCCCATCTGCTGGGCTGCCCCAGGGGGCAAAGGGGGTGGGCACCCCTGGGGTGGCAACCAGAACTGGCACAACTCTGCCACACTGAGGACACTGCAGAGCAGGGTGCAGGCTCCCACTGGCAGCATCACCCCCCTCCCCACTGCAGCCACAGGGGCCCAGTCCCCACCCTGTGCCTCCCACCCACCTCGTGGCGCTCGCCCTTGTTCTCAGTCAGCAGGATGATGGCATCTGCCAGCGTGGTGGGCTGTGCCTCCACCTGCTCCACCATCACCAGGCGGGAGCTGTAGATGGCCAGGATGTAGCTGGAATAATCGGTGGCCGGTCGGCTGCTGGTGGGACTGGAAGCTGTGGAGACACCCGGAGGAAGGGGCAATCAGGGAGGCTGTCACCAAGCCCACAGTCCCCGCGAGCAGGGTGTGCTGCTGGGTCGCTGCACGCGCATGCAACCTCCACCTCCAGCAAAGTCCTCACGATGAGGATCAAGGGCTTTGGCCCCTCTGCCTCCCCCAGGTGCCCTCCAGCCCCTCACCCTGGGTGGCAGGGCCGGCCAGGGCAGCGCTCCAGTGGTTGAAGGCACAGCACACCACGGCGTACTCGCCCGGCTCCAGCATCACGTCGCAGTTGACGAACTTCTTGACCGCTCGTTTGCTGTGGGCCATGAGCCGGCCCAGGCTCAGCTTGTTCCCGCTGGTGAAGGTGGCCCGGAAAACCATGATGCACAGATCCAGCAGGTGGCTGTCCACCGTGTCTGACCGCCTGCAATGGAGGGAAGGGTCACATGTCACCCAGGCCACAGGAGGATGGCAGGTCCAAAGGAAGACCCATCATCCCACTGCCCCAAAAATCCAGCCCCAGGAACCAGCTCAGGTTCAGGGATCGGGTTCCAGCTAAAATATGAGCAGTTCCAAAGAGCTGGATGAAGTGCATGGTGATGGAAGCCCATCCCTGGGCTCTGTGACCCTGCAGGGGCCGTGTGGCAAGAAGGTGATGTGTTTGGGGTTACCCCAGGGCCCAGAGAATCATGGAATCATTAAGGCTGGGAAAGCCCTCTGAGGCCATCGAGTCCAACCATTCCCCTGGCAGTGTCAAGGCCACCACTAACCCATGTCCCCAAGTGCCACATACACATGGCTTTTAAATCCCTCCAAGGATGGGGACTCCACCACTGCCCCGGGCCACCTGTGTCAATGCCTGACCACTGCTTCTGCGAAGAAATTTTCCCAATATCCATCTAAACCTTCCCTGGCACAACTTGAGGTCGTTTCCTCTCCTCCTGTCCCTTGTTCCCTGGGAGCAGAGCCCAACCTCCCCCTGGCTCCCCTTCCTGTCAGGGAGTTGCAGAGAGTGAAAAGGTCCCCCCTGAGCCCTCCTTTTCTCCAGGCTGAACCCCCCCAGCTCACCTGCTGCCCTCCTGGAAGAGGGCAAACTCCAGGGCTGCACGTTCCAACACTGTCAGCGACGTCACTGTCACCGGCCCGCTGGCCTTGTTGGGGAACATGCCCTGCACACGCACCTCATGCCAGTCTGAATGGAGCTTGCAGATATCCACGGAGTCAAAATACCTGTGGGAAGCTTGGTTCAGCCCCAGGGGGGTACATGGCTCTGTCCCCACACCCCAGCACGCTGCAGGTCCACCGCATCCCTTGGGAATTCCCATTCCCGCCTGACCCAACTGGCCCTCTGTCCCATTTTCAGTCCCTGCCCAGCTTCCCTCCCCACAGCCTGTGCCTACTTGATGAAGTCGCTGTACTCCATCCAGAACACGCCCTCGCTGCTGCCGTGGGGCATCAGGTCGTGGCGCAGGGGCGCCGGCCAGTGCGGCCACTCGTCGGACCAGCTGCCGTTCCAGGAGAAGCGGCCCCAGGGATTCCGGAGCCGCAGTAACCTGGGGAAAGGGGTAAATGGGGTTAGACGCCCAGGAGGAATGGGAGACACAGCCAGCCCCACGCAGAGGGCAGCCCACCCCTTCTGCCCCTGCCTCCCAAACCCCTCACAGCAACCCAGACCTAATTTGTCACCCACATTGTTGCCCCAGATGTCCCTGTCCTGCTGCTCCCTCTGTCCTTCCCTGTCCTGCCAGGTGCTGTGGGGATGGGGTTCTGCTGAGTGACATGGCTGAAAATGCGGCTTCCTACAGCACCCTGGCTGTGGGGGCAGCTCCTGTTTCTATCCCTGCTCCCTCCAAAGGGAGGGATGCTCTGACCACCTCGCTGAGCTGAGCGTTCCACTCAACCCTCTGTCTCTTGTGAACCATTCTACACCGGGATGTGGAGCCAGCACCACACAAGGACAACTCATGTGACAACAGAATCTTGTGACACCCCGGGATGGGACACTGAAGAGTCTCCAAGGTCTTGCCCAGCGTGCCCTCAGTGCCCAGGGTTTCTACTGGGGTTGTGGCAGGGGCACCTGTGCTCACCTGAAGCCCTGGACGTCCCTCACGTCCAGGATGGAGTAGGCGTGCCGAGGCCGCAGCCCCATGCTCTCGTAGGCCACGTCATCCACCTTCATGTTCCCTCCTCCACAGGACGCGCCCATGAGGAACCTGCACAGGGACAGCAAACCCTCGGTGTCCTGCCGGGCCTGGCACGGGGGGAAGCTCGTCCTTACCGCTCCAGGCACAGGAAAGCTTCCCCCCTGGAAGCTCCTGGATGCTCACTCTTCACAATTACACTGTGAACTCCCCAGGCAGTGCCCAGCCCTGGGCAGAGCTCCCTCCACCTGCCCTGTGCACACTGAGCCCAGGCTGTGTGTGCTGAGCTCTCTGTGGAGCTTTGCCCAAACCTCACCACATCTCTGCCAGGCCCCAGGGTCTTGCCTGGCAGAAAGCCACAGAGAAAGGCAGGTGGTCTATCTGGGCAGGGGTAAGGACAGACTGTCTGGGGCAGGAGGTCTGCACCAGTCAGGTTTTGGGGGGACACCACATGCTGGGAGTTACCCACCTCCCATTTAGCCCTGTACCTCGGCCTTGAACCAACCCAACTGCCCTCCTGCCAGAGTGATGAGCAGGAGCTCTCTGCTTTGGCTCTGTCCCCTCTAGGCTGGCTCTAGCCATGCCCAGGTGTGTCCAGCAAAGATGGGTGGGAAACACATGCAGGGTCACGCACCTCACAACACAAAAACACTCAAAGCAAAGCAAGCAGGCTCAGTGCCATTTCCAGACTCCTGCAGGAGAGCAGTGCATGGGGAAGTTCCCAGGATCTTCATTTCATATGAGAATTACTCACAGGAGAGCTTCAAGGGGAAGCTCCACCAATGCTCCAGAGGAGTGGTGGGCTCCACCCCAGGTAATGCAGTAGCCCCTCTCCTCTGAGACCCCTCAGACAAGAGCAGCCCCCCTCACCCCCCTGCTCCTGCCACAGCGCCCTCCTGCCTCGTCTTACCCAGCCTCCTTAGAACTCAGCATTTTGGCCCAGATGAGGTCAGTGTCAATGGGCTCCTCACGAGGGTTGGTGGAGCTGACCTGCAGCATCAGGCTCTCGCAGGGGGCCCCCGTGAGCGTGGCCAGGCCCTCGATGGCACGCCCGGCCTGGAGGGCGAAGTACGAACCGTGCAGCTTGGCCAGCGCCTTCTCGATGAGAGCGACCCACAGCTGCTTCCTCTGGGCCTGTGAGAGAGGCAGGGACACATCACACCCCGGCCATGACCTGGGAAAGCCCCTCTCACCCACCCTGCCAGCCCTCCCGCTGCCACAGGAGACAGAGAGGCAGGAGCAGCAAGGCCAAGCCACCAGGAGCTTGACCCTTGGCCAACACTGAGACTGTTCACTCTCTGCTCGGTGTTTTGTTTGCACAGTTTAATTCCCCTTGGCAATAAGTTCTGGAGTGCACATCCAAGAGGTCCAGATGCTGAAAGAGCTGCACCCAGGGGGGCCCAGCAGTCAGGCTGGCAGGGTGGGTGCCCACGGTACAGGCCCTTCCGTCTGCCTTCAACCTGGATTTAAAACAGTTTAATAATGGAAAAGGACACCAAGGCTGCCAGAGCTTCAGGAGTGCTTGGACAACGCTCTCAGGCACATGGTGGGACTGCTGGGGTGGCCTGTGCAGGGCCAGGAGTTGGACTCATATTTGTGGGTCCCTTGCAGCTCAGGAGATTCTATGATTCTGTGATATGGAGCACATTTGGAACAGCTAGAACTCTGCTGTAAACCAAAACCAACACCCCTTTGTCAAAGGAGATGGCCCAGAGCACACATGGCTGTGGGACTGATTAGACTTCACCCATGGAACAGACACTGCTTCAAGGACAAGCTCTAAAAACTTGGAGTAGCAAAGCTCTCCTCTCCAGCACAGGGAGTAATTACAAGCCCTAATTACAAGATGCAAGTTTTTTCCCAACAAATGGGGTTTGGTATCCGGTGCTTGGAGGTCAGCAGGGAAAATCACTGGGACATTGTGACTGTGTGTGACTCACAGGTGGCAGCCAAGAGCTGGCAGAGGAAAGGAGGGCAGTGAAGATTTCTTTCCGATGGATAAAGAGAGCTTACAAGTGCTTTTTGCTGGTTTTTGGGTCCCTCACTCAACAAAATCCATTTTGTTTATTTCTGCCTGAGCCGCAGCCAGGGAGCTCAGATAAGAGCCTGATTTTCTTTTATTTTTAAAACCCTGCTTTTCCTTTTTTAGCCCCCATGTCCAGCTCACACAGCTGAACACTCAGCAGAAAATCTCGACACGATTCAGATGCCCCTGGAAACAGAGGTAAGGCAAGCCCAGCCCACGTGAAAACCTTCAATCTTTAAAAAAAACCCCAAAGCAAACTTGAAATTCATAAGAGAGGAAAGATGGATGGAAAACAAAAGAACCCAAGACAGGTAAATCTTATGCTCAAGTAAAGAAATGCATCTGGATCCTCTCTGTCTGGGAGAGGCAGAATGTAGACATAGCCTCCTTCTTCCCTTCTCCAAAGTTACAGAGTCCTGTCCTGACACAATCTACACATGACACTGTTTGGGGCTGTGTGTCCAAAACCAGAGGACTGGGATTTGCAGAACGAAATCCAACCCAGCAGTCCCCGGCTCCTCCTGACAGTGGCACTTTGTTTTCTTTGGCAGATTTTGCCGCCTGAGCTTCAATAAAGACGTTCTCAGTCTCCTTCATGGACGTGATCCCAGCAAGAGCCCCTGGGCCTGGCAGGCAGGGTGGGCACAGCTCGTGGTGACGTCCTGAAGGGGCTGAGGGAGCTCCGTTCACCCGAGCAGATCCCACCCCGGTGTGCCCAGAGCAAGCGGGCACTGGGTCGGAACAGGCTGCTCCATGTGCCGTCCCCTCCCTCTCCATGGTCCCTCCCTGGCAAAGCCAAGCTGCCAGACGTCCCCGCAGAGCAAAGAAACAGCTTTCCCTCAGCCCCTCGCAGTGCAAAACACAGGGTAAAAACGTTTTCCTTTGCTGTGAAGAATAAGGACAGATTTCCCTGCAAGTGGAAGTGGCTGCGGTGGAGAGAGGAGTGAGGGAAAAGCAACTGTGAATGAAACTTCTCCACTGCAGCCTGGAAAATGCCAGAAGGGATTTAAATAGATGTGAATACGGCCTCAAATAGTTCAGCTGTCTTAAGAGCACAGCAAAGAGCGGGGTCCTGAGCTGCAAATAGGGTGCAACCAGGCTCAGTACTGGGTCCTGCATTTGGGTCACACCAGTCCCAGACAGCTCCAGGTTTGGGGCAGAGCAGCTGGAAAGTGCCCAGCAGGAAAGAACCTGGGGGTGCTGGTCAGCAGTGGCTGAGCATGAGCCAGGTGTGCCCAGGTGGGCAAGGAGGACAAAGGTCTCTGGACTGTCCCAGCTGTGGTGTGGCCACAGGCCCAGGGCAGTGCCCACCCCTGTGCTGGCACTGCTGGGGCACCTCCAGCCCTGGGGGCAGTTCTGGGCCCCTCGACAAGAGAGACACTGAGGGGCTGGAGCGTGTGCAGGGAAGGGAACGGAGCTGGGAAGGGGCTGGAGCAGCAGGAGCAGCTGAGGGAGCTGGGGGGGCTCAGCCTGGAGAAAAGGAGGCTCAGGGGGTCCTTCTGGCTCTCTGCAATTCCCTGAAAGGAGGGGGGAGCCAGGTGGGGGTTGGTGCCTTCTCACAGAAAACCAGCCATAGGACAAGGGAAAATGGCCTCAAGTTGTGCCAGGGGTGGTTTAGATGGATACTGGCAAAATCTCTTCACAGAAAGAGTGGTCAGGGCCTGGCACAGTTCCCCAGGGCAGTGGTGGAGTCACCATCCCTGGAAGTGTTCAAAAAATGAGTCAGTGTGGCACTCTGTGATACGGCTTAGTGGGCATGGGAGGATTCGACCTGATGCTCTTGGAGGCCTTTTCCAACCTTAAAGATTCCCTGACTCCAAACACCCCACACAGCACAGAGCAGGGGCCTCCACACGAACCCCAGCAGCACCTCCATCCGTCCTCTCCTGGGAGAGCCTGGGATGAGCCTCCCACCCCCTCCCAGCACCCCATTCGTTCCCCCCGGGTGCCACGGACCTGGGAGAAGAGCAGGTATCCGCACTCGTCGCAGGGCAGCATGTCATCCACCAGCACCGTGGTCCAGGTGCCGTCCTTGCACAGCCGCACCTGGTAGGCGCCCTCGGAGCACAGAGTCCTGGTGATCATCACCCTCTCCACCAGCTCGGGCCGCTCGGCCAGCACGGCCAGGGCGCTCAGGAACCTGCCGGCGGGACGGGACGCGGGGCGGCCTCAGCGGGGCACGGGCGGGCAGCGGGCACAGCCGCCCGGCCATGCAGCGCGCGGCAAGGGGTGAGGCAGAGCATGGGCTACAGCCTGGGGGCATAAATGGGTTTGAGTAGGGCTGGGGGGGCCGAGCTGGAGCTGGAAGAAGGGGAGGGGAAGGAGGAAGGGGCAGGGGGTGTCAGCCCGGCTCGCTCCCCCTTACCAGCAGTTTCCCAGCAGGCCCTGCAGGATGTCCGAGGGCCTGGGCGTCCGGAACACCGACCACTTCACCGACCGGTCCTTGAAGATGCTACAGTTGATTTCGTGGGGCCGCAGCCACTGCTTGACCCGCTGCTGCACGCTGTCACCTTCCGGGAACCCCACGGACTTGGGCCCAGGGGGGAAACTGTCATCGACAAAATTCACCTTGTTCTGTGGGAGCAAAAGGCAAGGAGAGCGTCAGCTGGGGCCTCTCGGGACTGGCTGGGCACAGGGAGCTCCCCATTGCCCCCCAAGAGCGAGAGCAGAACTCCCAGCCCTCCCACCCAGCCCAGACAGCCCCTCCCCAGCACTGCAGGGCAGCAGGGCTGGGACAGGTGTCTGCTGGCAGCAGTAGAGATGGCTTTTGTGCTTCAGGTCCAGCGCTCAGCCCTGCCAGGGCCAGCTCACCTCTCCAGCCCCAAGCTCCAGAACGGGACTCCAATCTGCCTTTTTCTGTTTCACAGGAGCCTCCCCGGGCAGGGATTGTCTCACACCTTGTGCTGGTGCTAAAAGCTGGGCTGTGGGGGGTCTTGGCTGCCTCTAGAAGTGGCAAAGCCTGCAAACAGCAACCCTGCAAGGAGCCACCTGGCACAGCAAACACTCCTCAGCCAGAGCCCTGTCCCTGCTCCAGAGGGGACACGCTGGGCTTGGCAGTCCCGTGCCAAACCCCCAGGCACATCCATGGGGGATGTGAGGGGCAGCTTTCGCAACTGGATTCAGCCAGACAAGCAATTCCAGAGGGAGGGTATCCCAGGTCGGAGCCCTCCTGCAATAGCTGCTGTGCAACAAATAAATAGGATGGATGGAAGGGTAGGTGATCCCAGAGGCATCACCCACGTGGATGGTAACACAGAACACCAACTGCAGAAGGGCAGCTTTTTCAGACCGTCTAACAAGGGGTGAAATAAGAACAGGTGTTTCTTTGTTATTGTTAATTAAATTAAATTAAATTCTTTCAGCAAAAGCTGGCTCTCATTTAAATTAGCTTTATGCACACCAAACTAATAGCTGTCCTCCTCTTTTGTGGCAATGCTGTGTGAATGCTTCCTTTGTGGGGCCTCAATTAGCACCTCCAGCTTCTCTCTTGCAGAGGGGTGTTTTTCAGCTCGTAGCTGTCATGTCCCAGGGTGCGCTGCTCTCTCGGGGGAACATCTGCTCTCTGCAGCTGAGGAGAAACCACCTCTGCCAGCAGCCTCACCTCGTCACATCCTGGCCTCACACACGGCCCTCTGGGCTCCTACATGGACCTCTGGGCTCCTCAGGAACCTGCTGGGCAGGGCCACAGGGACACGGGGAGGAGATTTTCCCCTCTACTCTGCTCTCCTGAGACCCCACCTCATACTGTGTCCAGCTCTCCAGGACTCAGCACAAGAAAGATGTGGAGCTGCTGGAGCAGGTCCAGATGAGACTACAAAGATGCTCCGAGGGCTGGAGCCCCTCTGCTCTGGAGCCAGGCTGGGAGAGCTGGGGGGGCTCACCTGGAGAAGAGAAGGCTCCAGGGAGACCTGAGAGCCCCTTCCAGTACTTGAAGGGTGCTTATAAATAAGAGGGAAGGTAGTGATAGGACAAGGGAGAACAGTTTTAAACTAAAAGAGGAGAGATTTAGGTTAGCTATTAGGAGAAGATTCTTCCCTGTGAGGGTGGGCAGGCCCTGGCACAGGCTGGCCAGAGAAGCTGTGGCTGCCCCTGGATCCCTGGAAGTGTCCAAGGCCAGGTTGGATGGGGCTTGGAGCAACCTGGTCTAGTGGAAGGTGTCCCTGCCCATGGCAGGGGTGCAACAAGATGGGCTTTAAGGTCCCTTCAAACCCAAACCATTCTGTGATTCTGGTGGAAGAGGTCAGCTCTGCTCTGTCCCAAGACTGAAGAGAAAGGGTAAAGCTAATTAGGGGACCATACACTGAGAAGAGCTGGAACAGGCACCCCTGGAATAATGGAGGAGGGACAGCTCACTGCAGGAGCTCCACCAGAAATCCTGACAGGGAGCAACAGCATGGGCTGCTCCACAGGACATGTCCCCCTGGCAGGGGGACAACAGGCAGAGGAGAACTTGGCCAGCCTGACACTCCTCCAGGGGAAGGATGAACAGCCTGGGAACTACTGGGACAGAAGGAAGCTTGGAGGCTGCCCCACACACCAGCCTCAACAGGAGCATTGGTGGGAGGCTGCAGGGACACTGGGAGCAGAGCAGGCACGAGGGTGGGAGCAGCACTGCCCCCCCACTGCTGCCAGGCCTCCCTTGGACTGCAGAGACTCCTCTAAACAGTGTCAGAGTAGAGCAGAGGTTCAGTTTGAGGGGGATTTTGGGGTGATAGCCCGCACTGATCTAACAGCACAAGGGGCTCAGCCAAGGCTCTGACCGAGCAGGATGGGTCAAGGCAGGCTCCCCTTCCTGGCAGTGCCAAGCTGCTAATTCAGCCTGGCCATCAGCATGATTCATCCTTCAGGCCTGATTCCTGAAGTAACAGATGTTCTCTGCCTACAAAAGAGGCTATTCACTTGCTTAAAAGAAGGGGATAAGCAGAATCTGGGTCTCTCTGCTGTAAAGACACCCACGCCTGTTAGCATGGACGTGGAGCAATTTTAAAAGCCCAGAACCCCAAAACAGGATCATTCTCAGAGCTTCCCCCCAAGCCAAGTATCTTCCTGTCCCTGGACTGTGCAGTGGAGACACAGTCATGGACATGCTTCTCAGACCAGGCAGACAAATCCCTGTCTGCACGTCCAAATGGGACTGCAACTCCCTTTCCATCTGGTCCAGAAGAGCTGGAGGCTTCCCCCAGAAGGAGGCCAGAGAAAGTAGCATTCACAGGAGCATCTCATGCCACTCAGGGAAAAAATGGGGCCATCAGAGCTGTGTTTGAGGCTGAAACCTAACTGATTGAGCCAGACACTTCAAAGTGGGAGGGGAGGTGCTGGCACATGCTCCTGAGACCCTTGAACTGGAGCCAGCCTACAGCCAAACCTCAGCTGGCCTGCCCAGAACAGGGGGGAGCCACTTGTGCTGCACCTGTGCATTGACAGCACCCAAATCAGGAATGCCAAGGCCCAGCTCAAGGCTCTTAAACACCTGCAGTTGCTGGCAGTGCCTGCACCTCTGCCTGTGCCCTGAGCTCCTGCCTGCTGCATTCCAGACTTCTTGCATCCACAGGTGACAGCTGCTGCCCACAGACAGTGGTGCCACCTGCAGACCTGGGCACACTCTTCTTCCCCAGCCTTCCCCACCCTGGGACAGGGAAGGAACTGTATGACCACATCAGGGTGAGCCCTTCATCCCAGATGTTCTCCCTCACTGATTTAAAATATGCTGAGGTTTCAGAGTCAACAGGTTTAGCACCAGGTTTTAGACTTCCTCACCCTTGGAGCAGGAATGGACTGTATGGGTTGTCTTCACCCCCGAGATTATTCTGCACCAACATGAAATACGACATTTCAGTGTTAACAGCCAGCACCCAGCTGCTGCCAGTGAATATCTCCTCTGGAACTCCATGGAGCCCTGTGCCAGGCAGTGCCCCAGCCCCATGGCGGAGGCAGAAAGGGGTCCCCCCACCGAGAGAGAGCAGGAGCGAGGCTCGCCCAGCCAGGACTCACCTCCCGGCAGAAGGTCACGATGTTTTCCCACAGGGCTTTGGCCTCCCCCTCGTCCGTCTGGCGCCTCTTCTCCACGTGCATGCTCTCCCTCCTCTTGAGGGGCTTGAGGCCCTTGCGCTGGGTGATGTACTGCTGGGGGGTGTGGCAGGCCCCACAGTGCTTGGCCTTGCCCTCGTTGAGCAGGGTGCAGGCGGGACAGGCCCACTGGCCCGGCCTGTCCTGCCCGCCGGGCAGCGGGGCCGGGAAGAGCCGGGCGACCTTGCGTGCGGACGGGGCCTTGGAGCCGCAGGAGCAGCCGCCCCTGTCGCCGCAGTCGGGGCAGCGCGGGGCCGGCTCGCCCGGCGGGCCGTGCTCCTGGAAGCCGTGCAGCTTGGAGGAGCCGCACACCTTGCACTTCTGGGCCTGGGTGGGGTTCTTGAGGGTGCACTTGGAGCAGGACCAGGTGGTGAAGTCGGGGCTGGAGGGGCTGCACGGGGTGAACCTCACCGAGTCGCCCACCACGTTGATGGTGTCGCTGCCTTTTTGGGTGCTGCAAACCTCGCACTTGCCGGCCCCGGCGGAGTTGAGCAGGGAGCAGGAGCTGCACTTCCAGTGGGACGGGCTGACCTCCATCTCCTCCTCCAGCACGCTCAGCCGCTTGTTGGACAGCAGCTCTGGGAAGCGGGTGGCGGGGGCGGCCCTGGCCTGGCCCTGGGGAGAGCCCTTCTGCCCTGCGGCGCTCGGGGCCGCAGGCTGGGGGGCTTCGGGGCCCGGCATCTGCAGCTGGGGGGGCACCTCCCGCCGGCTTCGGGGCACAGGGTTGTTCTGGAGCCCCGGGGAGAAGGGGCTGAAGGCTGGTACCTTCTGGGCCTCCTGCTCCATAGCCACGGGGCCCTGGGTGGCTGCAGCGTCACCATCAGAGACCTCTGCAGAGACCGAAGGCTGTGGGGTGGAGGGGGCCATGTGAAACCCGGCCGGGGTGATGACTTCAGGGACGACCAGCGCCTCTGGGGGGATCTTGGGCAGGGAGAGCTTGCGTGGGCCCCCACAGGCGGAGCAGGAGTTGGCCACGGGCGTGTTGTGCAGCGTGCAGCGCTGGCAGGCCCAGCCGCTCTCCAGCTCCGCTTCGTCGGGGCTCTTCCCCTCTGAGTCCTCGCTGCTGCTTTCCGCCTTGGCAGCCTCCTCCTTGGACGTGCCCTTGGGCTCCACGAGCACAGTGGGCTTGGGCAGGATGCCGTTGATGACGGGCAAGGGGGAGCCGCTGGGCCCTGGCTCCGGGGTGAAGCCACACACCTCGCACGTCTCCTTGCCCAGAAAGTTCCTGAAGGTGCAGCGGGCACAGGCCCATTTCTGTTCCTCCACGCTGAGCCGCAGGATGTGGTTGAGGTCGGGTTTCTGCCGAGGGGCTTCGCAGATGGAGCACTGCCGCTGGCCCACGGGGTTCAGGAAGGTGCAGCGGGTGCAGGACCACTCACGGACGGCAGCCATGGAGCCGGGAGAGTGGGAGTGGCTGCAAGGAAGAAGATGACAGTGTGAGGCCAAGGCTCTCCCTTGCTTCCAGGGAGAGAACAACCAGCAGTGCAGTCACTGCTCTCCAGGCACTTGTTCCTCTGGCACTGACAAATTCTCCAAGTGCATGGCAATGCACTGGCTTTCACCCAGAACACTTCAGGAAGGGCACAGGAAACAGCCCCAGCACCCCACCGACCCTGCTCTCATGGTGGGGATGTGCCCCAGTGAGCAAACGCCATCTCTGTACTCAGCCTCGGCAACTTTGTGTGTCTGCAGGTCATCTGTAACTCTGGAGTTAGAGTGACACCCTGCTCTGCCTTTTTGCTGTTCCCACCATCAGTTCTTTCCTCCTTCTCTACTCCAGCCCAACTCTGTCTCACTTTCTGTTCCTACCTCCCTCCTGTCCTTTCAGCTCCCCACCACAGGCACACCACTCATCCACACTGGAATAACCATGTTATCCCACACCAGACACCACCGAGCCAAGAAAGGCAGGCTGAGGTGGACAGAGGTGCTTCTACCTGGCTTACACGTTTCAGGGCCAGAAGCCTGGCCCAGCCAGCCCAGGAGCAGCAGCTAAAGCTGGTCGTGGTGCACTGGTGGCCAGGACAGCTCACCAGCAGCTTCCCAGCTCAGCAAAGAGGGGTACTGTGTCCCAGCTCCAGCTGCCTCCCCTCTTACCTGGGAAGCACAGAGGCCACAGAGCCCTGCAGTCAACACCAGCCCTCAGTTTCAACCTCCAGTGCTGCCTGGGAATGCCAGAAACCCAGATGGGAGAACAGGTCCAACATGCGCACGAGTCACCCCTTCCCAGGGCAGGGAGTCACAATTTCGTTTTCTGGGCAGGTTCAGTTTTCAGAAAGCACAGCAGCAGCACCAACTCCAGGGCCCACAGCAACCTCTGGGCTGCAGGGAGCAGCCCTCCCTGCCCACAGCCCTCCTGGTGTTGTCAGGAAGGGGATGCCACGTGTGCACACTCTGAGAGCTGCAGAAGGAATCCCAGCCTGCCTGGTGCCCTTTGTCCCTTGCTTGGGGTCATTTCCTGGAGCTTGGAGCAAAGGTGGGGCTGAAGCAGAGCTTTCTGCTTCCTCCTCCTTCACATAAGGACAACCCAGCTCTCCCTCAGGTAAACGTGCAGAACGAGCCAGAGCCCTTCCTCCAGGCACTCCTGCTCCCAGATAACGAGGTTGAACTCAGCCTTGAACCCAACCTCCAGGCCAGCTGTGCCTCTCTCCAGCAGAGCAGCTCCCCTTCCAACCCCTTCCACCCTGCTCTGCTTGCCTGAGGTCGTGGGCAGGGCCAAGTCTGCAGGAGAAGCCACCAAGTCCACCCCATGCCCTCAGCTCTTCCTGGGAGCAGCAAATTCAGGCCTTCACAGACCAAGGAAAGAGCAGCCTAAACCACGGGAGCTGCACCTCATGGGCTCCCTCTCTAGCACCCCTTCAACAACCCAGTTCAACCACCACACTGGCTGGAACAAAGAAGGGAAGGAGAACATTTCATGCCACAGAGGGCAGGTGCAGAAAGCTCCGAGACGCCCGTGGAAGGACCTGGGTCCTGGCTGGTCTCCAGAATCCCCAGCAGCAGCACCTGCATACCCAGCTTCCCAAGGCACTGAGCAGACTGCAATGCAGCAGCAGGGTCTTCAGGGGACAGAGGATGCAGCCAGAGCCCCCATGGGGAGGAGGATGGTGACTCTCCCTTTGGCTGGTAGATGATAAACTCTCCTGGGAACACTCCAGCAGCAGCAGCAGCAATCCAACCACATTTTCAGACCACACTCCACAGCCACTGGAAGAGCAGCTCTGCCTCACAGAGATCAGATATAACCTTCAACTCCCTTCTTAAATCAAACACTTCTCTAAATAAAGCCTGAAATCAAGAAATCCATTTTATTGCAAGAGAGAGCTTGAAAATTCATTCTGGTTCATATACCGTGCCTGCATCGTTTGAACTTTGTAAGGTATTTATTTACTGGAGTTATTCCCAGCTAAGAGAAATATAAACATTGATTTTTCTGCCTCAAGTCCTACAGCTGAGAACCACTGCACATCCCTCTCCCATGTGGCAGCACAATGTCTGAAAGGGAGATCATTCCTCAAGTAGAGAAGGAGAAGGAGCTCCGTGCCCGGCTCCGGCAGCAAATGGAGCCACGAAGGGCACTGTGATCCTGTCACATCCATTTGTCTTACTGGGTGAGGTCCATCAAACCACAGGCATCAGCAAAAGGCAAGTGAAGCCTGTCAGCAATCTGTGCCATCCACGGCCATCCTTCTGCAGCATTCCATGCTGTTCCCTGCCTCCAAAAAACCCACCCCTAAACGCAGATGCCACAGTGCTTCCAGAGGGTCTGCACATCCAGCCACCAACCCTCCTGCTGCACACAGCCCTTCCACACACGTGGTCCTACCCAGCAGGCAAAGCCACCACAGGACCATGGAAAGAATCACCTTGTCCCTTCCCACAGAGAAGGGAAAACCCAGGATAACCTAAAAGCCAGAAGTACCACACGAGGGGACAGTGGGATGAGCTGCATCACCAGACTTGTTTGATGTGGTGACAGGGATGAGCTGCAGGCTCAGGAAAGGCAGCATCGTTTCACTTGGCCAGGCAGGAGATTCAGGCTCAGCAGCAGGAAGGGAGGCAGGAGCCAGGACACTGCAGTGCTCTCCTCTAAGCTGTGACACTCCTGGGCTACCCTGTCCCCCTCCTGGTCCCCTCCTCTCTCCCCATGCCACAGGAGTCAGCTCCTAACACTGCCCAACTGCTGCTAGGATTTGCACCTACTTGACTTTCCCAGGAAAACAAACCTTCCAGAAAGGCCATTGAAGGTCCTGCAGTGGCCAGGCCACCGGTGTGACAAGCTTTGGCAGGAGACTTCCCTGCCTGCTGTTGCACCATGTCGTGTTGCCCAGCAGCCACAGTCTTCCCTGAAAACTACCAGGAAAGGCACAGAAATGGGAGATCACACTGGACATGGATCTTCAGATGTCCCCCACAAGACACGAGTCCCCCAGACTTGGCGACCAGCCCACAGCCTGCTGCCCCCAGACTCCTGCGAGGGCTCATGGACAGTTCCAGTCCCTGCCTGGATCACCAGGCTTAAGTTAAAGGTCCAAAGATCCCAGAGGGACCAGGTTGGAACCTGTCTTCCCATGGCCCAACTCATATCACCACGTGGTGGATCGTGGCAGCAGCCTCTGCCCCCCAGCAACACCTTCCTCACAAACTCAACCAGCAGGAGAAACCCGACCACAGCCTGCCCACGCTCTGTACTTCTCCCTAAAAAGCCTGGTTGGCTCCTTTCCCGGCAGGCAAGTGAGGAAACAGGGTTGTCTGCAGCACCTATTCCCCAGGCCCATCTGCTGTGTGCTAACACACACTTGCTCTCCAGCCCCAGCAAACACAACTGAGATAAACAGAGCCTGCCACCTTCCCGGTGCCTGCAGGAGAGCAGCTCCTCCAAAACCAGCCCTGCAGTCACCCACCCACGGCAGGGCTTTCCTGGAGGACACTTCACTGGGAGCACGACGACACGAGGTCTCCACAGCCTGGCAGCAGGGACCTGCTGGAGGCTCTTTTGGGGGGCAAACAGCAAGGAAAGGGCAACACTGGTACAACCCCACAGCTCCAGCAGCGTGGATGGGGTTGGATGCACCCCTCCAGCAGTGTGGATGGGGCTGGATCTCCACCTCTCCAGCAGCGTGGATGGGGCTGGATCCACCCTCCAGCAGCGTGGATGGGGCTGGATCTCCACCCCTAGAGCAGCATGGATGGGGTTGGATGCACCCCTCCAGCAGCGTGGATGGGGCTGGATCCACCTCTCCAGCAGCATGGATGGGGCTGGATCCACCCCTAGAGCAGCATGGATGGGGCTGGATCCACGTGGCTGTGCTGTTCACTGCAGCAGCTCTCCCCATCCCAAGACAGGAGACATCAGCTGGCAGGAGGCAGCACCACGTTGGCAGGAGTGCCCCTACCTTGGCAATCACAGCAGTGTAATTATCATGCTTAAAAAATAATACAGAAGGCACTCAATCCAGAAGGCAGCTTTCAGCACACTGAGCAGGTCCCAGGGAACCTCACTGCTCCAGGGATTAAGAAGGCTCCAGCTGGTCACCTTCCAAACCCACCTCAGGACAGTGATATCCCCCTCCCAGGGCTCTGCTGAGGGATGAGTCTGCTGAGCCTGAGTGCCCTGTTGCTACAGAGCCCTGGCTCCTACCCAGCCATCAAACTGGCCAGGGGAGCCCACCACCTTTGGGTGCCACCTGGGACCAAAGACCTTTCTGAAGCGGGACAGAACAGGAAGGAACAGGGTAGGGAAGGAAAGCAGGAAGTGCCCAAAAAGCTGCAGTTTGCGTCTTTCCTGCTGGCGAGGAGCTGGGGGTGTGCCAAGGCTGTGTGATGTGCAGCCGAGCTCCAGGGCAGGAGATGGCAACCAGCCCTGGGCAGAAGCACCTTGGAAGTGCCAGAGAACGGCTCGAGGTGACCTGGGCACCGGAGCGAGAGATCCCAGGGCTCTGCTGCAGAGCCCACATGGCAACAGGATTACAGGAGCCTGTGTCAATCACACAGCGACAGAAATCAGGCTGTTTCTCTAAATAAAACTCCTCCAGAACAGCTAAAGCCTTAAAACTTACTGCTTCAGTTGTCCCCGGCAATAAATAAACAAATAAATAAAAGATCGATTGTTCCAGTCAGCAACCGCGACCCTGAGCTCTCTGACACAGAACACATCCCAGCAAAATCCTCGCCTGACAAACGCAGGAAAAAGCACTACAACTTTGTGAAGGAAAAGAAAAATCACCAAAAAAAACCCCTAAACAAAATCCTGCCCCCAGTTGAATCCCTTCCCCTCCTCCCCATCCAGCTGATCATTCATATCTCAATTTAATTTTCTTTCAACAGCACTGCAAACCCTGACCTAAGAGAGGAGTGCTGAGCCTTCTCCCGCCCGGACCTACCACATCTGCAGAGCAGCAGAGCCCCCGTGCC